GAAGCACCAAAGAACACTGGCAACACCACAGCTCTTTAAACACAACTTGCATCTATTTGTGATAACAAATGAGCATATTTAAGTACAGTCAGTAAAACAACAGCTGATTTTAAAAATGCTTAGCCACCACAAGAAGGGCAAGTTTCAGACACATTCCTTGTGTTTGACTACAGTAAAGATAACAGGATTTTTATTATTCACAAGTTATGACTATACTTAGCCAGGAAACGTTGCAAAGGCCTGGGAAAGAAACTTGCCAAATGGGCAAGTTCATATACCCACTACTTAGGCAGGAGGCTGTGGTGGCTCTTTTCACTGGATGAGAGTGGAAGGTACTGAAAAAGTCAGCTCATGCTGCAAATTGTGAGAACTGACTCACATTTATGTAACAAGAATTGTCTACAATTTATACAGGATATTGACTCACACCATAGGACAAAGGAAAGAGCTTTCATAACATACCATGCTGCGGACTCACATTTTGCAGAACAAAGCACTAATTAACAAGCTAGTGAGAGAAATTCAACCTCATGTTATCTAATAGGAGACAATGTATTTTCAAAACTGAGTGTCCCAGATCTAGGGTTTGGCACTTCCTTTAAAAACTGATAGTCAGGGAAAAGATGTTTTCAGTGCTGGTGAAAAAACGAACAGTTGCAGCTGTTTGTAAAGGAGATAGTGAATCACAGACCTGATTCTGACAGAACTAATGGATAAAAGTCCTACGATCCCTGCCTAAGCTCTAATGTAGCTCTCTAAGGTAAGGAAAGCCCTGGCTTGAATAACAGTCAAGAAAATTCTTGACAAGGAAATTTCACACTCTGGACTACCCATTTTCATACAAGCAAAATATTTATGTTTCCACTAACAATATGCTTATTGTAGATTATAATGAGAAAAAAACTTTTTGTGCTATGCATCTGTGTGAACTTTGGATTAAAAAAACACTGAGAAACATCTTACGTTGGTTTCAGTTGTAATTTTAGTCAGTCTGAGTGTGGCATTCATATTCCTCACAGATGCATTTTGCATATATTCTCTTTACTGACTTTCCTTTTATTACACTTCTATCAGTATTTTAATGCACTCTGTGTATGTGTGTGCGTGTGTGTGTGTTTGGGTTTTAAGCTGTTGGCAAAGCTCTTTCTTTTTTCCAACCAAAAACCCCACTGCCAGGCAGGGCAAGAAGGACTGTGCAGTTATTCCAGGTGCTCACAAGTTTCAGGCCATCAGGCTTCTTCCTTTACTGGTAATGATTCCAGCTATATAACAAAGACTAGGAATGACCTAAGGATAAATTGTAAGATATGGCCAGTCATCATTTCTAGTTTGGCCCTACCACAAGACAAGAAATTATAATAGCTACAGGTAGGAGACTCTATACATTTGTTTCATCAACTACAATAGCTATGGTACTGTAGAAGAAATCACTATTAGCTTTATCTTCATCAAGGTGTTAAACCACCACATGTTGGTCAATATTCTCAATTGGAAATGACTGTAAGAACTTATGGGCCAATGAGTTGACTCAGCGTTCAAAAAAAATTCATTCAAGATGAGCTGTTTAAATAATAACTGTTCCATCATTAGAAAGATAATTACAGTACTGCAAAACAACCAATGTTTCCATCTTAAATTCTTTCTTCTATTATAAATAGCATTTTAATAAATTTCAGCAGGTGGGAAATAGCAGAAGCAAACATTTTCTTTTATAACAGTCCTAAAACTTAGATTCAAGTGAGAATCATATTTCAGTTAACTAAGTTTTCCATAACAGTTTTGTGAAAGGAGAATTAAGATTGCACAGTGGCAGCAACTGCCGGATCAAACGGGTAGATCTCCAAAAATCTCCAAAACCCAGTGTAGCTAATTTAATTCTCTGCAAAACAGAAATATAAATGTAGTGAATAATTGCACTCTAATACTCTTTTCTTTCACACACTGAAATATAAACTAACATAGCTATGCATTGTTGCAGGCCTGCTGGAAAGCTCTTAGATTCAGCACAAATGGAAAAAGAAATTTTACTCAAGTTGGTCCAATCAAGCTAAATGCCATTTCACCTCAGTTTTTAATGCATACATTGCAATGAGGCAGTCAAAAGGAATGATCAAAGCACTAAATGCCCTAATATTGACTGCACAGATAACCAATTGAGTAAATTTTTACACCGTAAGACAAGAATCTAACAAACCAAAACCATTATACTGATTTAATCATTACCACTTAGTGCCATTTTAGCAAATGGCGGCAGTCTTTTGTACTAATTGGACTAACAATTTGTCTCACGCTGAGTGATGATGAACTCAGAATTCTGCAAGAACAGCACCCAGTTCCAGATAGCAATATTAGTTTACTCTCAGGGCGTAGTTCTCTTTGAACAGTGAGCTGTTCTTAAAGTAAATAAAAGTTCCATTCCATTGGACTGAACATAAATGTGTGAAAAAAAGAGTCAAATGTTCGCACAAAACCCCTCTAATGTAAGATATCAGAACAAAAACAGCTGCCTATTTCCTCTTAATATGGAGCTAATATAAATCACTGTATTAACTGAACTGATTGTAATTTGATGAAATCTATCCTATTCATAGATGAAAGCGTATTAACTTATGCGTCTTAACATATAAAACCTTTGCAGTCACTTTCATACTAACAGCTGTAGGACCATAAGCTTTTTCTTTACACCATAGCCGCAAAGGTCTTATCCTGAGAGACACTGTGTGATTTCATGGAAGCCTTAAATTTACTGAACCTGCCATCAGCAAAAGCTCTGTAAATTAAAGTTTGAACACAATACCGTTAAATGAAATGTCAGCTTCCACAGCAATTTTCTGTCAAATGAGTGCTGCTCACTAAGACTTCACCAAGAACACTCCAGAGTCAAACAAGAACATGAAAATGTACTGCAGGGCTACGGCCACAGTCCTGCAAAAGCTCAAGGTTTTTCCAGTCTAGAAAATGCACTCCCAAATGTGTTTTTATGTCCCCTAGAATCTACACTAGGTAGGGACTAAAGTTAATGACTGATGCCCTTTGACATAAATCTTCCCAAATAAGACTAGTTTCCCATTTCTGCACATTAACAGGGTGGGAAGGGAATCATCAGTGTATATAAAAAGACATCTATAAACATTAACAGCCGGAAGTTCAACATATTTCTGATATGATCCCTACGCCCTTGCATTTGGCAAACAGGCACTCCACTCACAAATTAAACTGGAGCTGCTTAACAGCTTGGCAAAAGCCTGATATCTTCTGCCCTTGAATCACTCTGGACAGAAAGTGAAAAATCAGACTGCTGGTATGCAGTAAACCCACATAAATAGAAGTGGCATAAGAAATTAAATATCCTACTAAACCTGTCACAATTTTGAAGTTGTATTTCAGACACTGGTTAAGCATGTTTGTGAACATTAAAAATCCCAGTTATAGCATATAAAGCATAAATATAAGCTCATTCCTTCAGTGTCTGTTGTCCAATTCCTGTGTTTGGATAACTGAAAGACTGAAAAACAAATCCAGCAATCCAGAAAAAAAAAATCTGTAACTTATATTTACTAGTAAAAGTGAACTGCATTAGAGCACATATTAGGAACAAAATATTACAAGGAGGGATTAAACAGATATTTAAGACTTAAATAAGTGGAGGCGTAAACCAGCTCTGGAGTATAAAACTGCAGGAACAGAGGCAACACAAAGGCAAAACTGTAACAGGAAAGCAAAGAAAAAGACAAGGAACTGAAAAGAGAATATGGATATGTAAGAAGTAGCAGAATATGGAACAAACAGAGATATTATAGTATCATCACTTTTTGCAGGGCAAGTAAAATCATATTTTAAGAGTTAGGAAGTTCCAAAAGCTACTGAGACAGTCTCTGCCACTTGTTCTAACACACAAGGGGATAAAAAACCCCAAACTTAGGAAACCAGGTCACCAGGAATTAAGATGCCTGCTTGTAACAGTTTGGTTTAATGTATTACATGATCCAAAATTGCTTGGAGGTTTTGGCACCTTAAAGATAAATCAATATCTGAAATGGAGCTCCTCTAGAATAACTAAGTGAGGAAATTATGGCAACAATTAAAGTAAAATAGCTTTACATATAAGTGCTAATTTTATCACACTGTCTTCTTATGCCATATACAACTGACGAGCAATGAAAGTGTAAAATGTGGTTTCCTTCCTAAATCTTTAAATTAAATAATCTCAACAGGCAAAATTTTGAAGTGCACATCAGTTTGTAAAAAAAAAACCAAACCACCCAAAACCTAAAATAAAAACAAACACCTTCAGTAACGGTACTACTGTTTTCAACATGCTACTAATAACAATAACCCAGTCACAATAAAAACGTGTGGCTGTGCAAAGTGATCAAGACAAGAAGGATTTTTTAGATGGAAAACAAGGTAATCTTCAATAGCAGAATTAAAAGAGGATTTATCTATGCAATTAGATTTGTGTTTCTAAAGCAAAGGGGTAAGCCCTTGCAAAAGCTTGTAAAATGTGGATCCTGAAACAGAAGCACAGCTGGACAGAACAGACCAATGCACTCCACCCAGTTCAACTTCATTCAGGTAACTCCTGTCTCTCTAATTAAAAAGTCTTCCCTAAAACTACATCAGATATAGCTTCAGGAAAACATGTTTTCACAGATTTTCAAATACTTACAAAGGGCACTGTCTTACACAAAACCTCCTCCCTGACTACATTTATGACAGTTTTCCTTACCTTTAAAAATAACAGAAACGATAGGATCTGGTTTCCCAAACTTGGTTTTAGGGATATTGGTAGCAGATTCCACAATTACCCGAAGCATTGTTTCCCGTCTTGCCTAAATGTCGACTGTTACAAAATAAATTCAAGGAAGTCTTCAGTTTCACACTCCTTAACTTCTGGACTGAAATGCTAGCAGGAAGAGGAGGCAGGGAATTGCTGGTTTACAATAAAGAAGGTCTATGGGTGGATCTATGACGGACTAGCTACTCAATCTAGGAAAAAAAAGTCCTGTAAATTGACACCAAGTTCTGTCTTGCTGCACAAAAAACAGCTCTCGCTAATGAAATCCTGTAACAGAAAGGACACAGTCCAAAAACGAATGCAGATTTATTTTGGAGGGTTTTTTGGTTGCTTTTATTCTGAAGCTGTGTGATAAATCTCTAGTAAGTAACTAAGGCAAGAGTAAGCATTAAGCAACATCAACATTAAACATTAAACACGACTCTAGTACTCAAGATATATAAAATCTTCATCTTGGTATACCAAGGTATGAAATTTCACGATGGCTTATATTTTTTCCACCTCTTAATTTGCAGAACTTCATTGTTTGCAAATGCTCTTGGCTTGCCTCCGTGACAGCCTACAGTCACAAACTAGCGACGGTCCCCAAAACCAGTGTAAGTTCTCCCCCTGCCGTCGCGTTCTGGAACAACCACGTGTTGCACAGTGAATGCTGCAGCTTCGTCACGGAACAGGCTGGATTTAGTAGATTTATTGAGAAATTATTAAAATATATATGCATAACTAAAAATGGAAAATAATTAAGAAAATGCATAGCCAAAAAATCCAAAACACAACAACAAAAAAATCCCCCACAAAAACAAAAAAACCCACCCAACCAACCAACCAAAAAGGTGGTATGACCCTCTGTATTGTTTAGAGGCATATGTTTTGTCTTAACATAAACATGTGCAGTAACAAGGTAAAACTTACACGAGAGGCGCAAGAGCTCCGAGCGCCCCCGAGCTCAGAGTTACAGCAAGTTTATATCAGCTGTGGAACAGATGTTAAAACCCGAGAGATGCACGCTGCCACTGCAACACGTCCCAAGCAGTGATGAGGGGGGGAAACTGCAAGATGGAGCAAGATGAGTCACATGTAAGCACACTTCAGCCTAGTTCTTATATGATCATAGAGAACCATCCCACCTTATTTTGGAATTTCTAAAATTATTAGATTTTGGGTAGATTTGGAGAATTTCAGGAGGAGAAAAAAAGTGATCCGAAGCACACGTGTTCGGGGAGGGACGAGGACAGAGACACGTACGGGACAGCACTGAGCGGGCCCCGCGGGCCGTTCCACGCTCAGCCATCGCGGCCCCAGCCGGGCCAGCGCCGGCGGAGGGTGGGGACAGGCACCGCCGGGAAGCGACACGAGAGGGCAGCACCGCCCGTCCCTCCACACGGGCCCGCGGTGACGAACTCCCAACCCCCGGAACTGACGAGCCGGAGCCGCGGGATTCAAACTCCCGGAAGCGGCGCCGGGCCGGGGCCGGACGGGCTGTGGTTTGGGGTGCTCGGGCCCCGTCCCGTCCCACGGAGCAAGAGCCGACAGCAGGATCCGGGAAGCCCTGTGCTTGACTCCAGCTGTCAGAAGCCATGTCTTGCCCGCTAGAAGGGATCGCTGTTCCGTGACGCCGCGTTTGGGTTTTACAGGCGCCGGAAGATGAACCCCAAGACCGCCAAAGATCGTATTATGGGCAAGTGGGGCTTAAAGTCGACCAGCTCCAGAGCTGAGAGTGGGCTGGAGAAGGGTAAACAGGAGAGCGCTGCGCTGAGGAATCAATCCACGGAGGAAGCCGCCGCCGGGAGCGGTGGGATGGCGGAGGCGGAGAGGAGCGGGCTCCTCCAGGTGAGCGGGGCTGTGCCCAGCCGGCGGTGCCGTGTCAGGGCCTCCGGGCCTGCCCGACCCGGGAGCGAGAGCCCCGCCTTTCCTCTCGAATCTTCGCTTACTTTGATGTTACTGCTGGTTTATTACTGTTAGACAATTTAGACGAACTTTTAGTTTGACGTTTTCATTCTCATGTTCTTTTCAGAGATGACTGAACTAATAAAATCACACTCATCTGACAAGGCTGCTAAATACAAAGACTTGAGGCCAGAGGTGCCAATTAGTCCGTTAGGACTAATTCTCTCGTGTCCAACAGGCCTCGGAGAATTATTTTAAGCACTTCCTGCAAAGAATATTATGTTTGCAAACATTTGTCTAAGAACATGCCAAAAAGTGCTGAGTGTTTGCTTGAACTGAATTGTCAAGCTCCCGCTCAGCTATAGGTAAATAAAACTGCAATCAGGTCCCTACATTATTCTTCCATTGCAACCAAAGAGCAGAAACTAAGACACTGCAAATTCCACCCAAGGTAAACCTGTGGTTGCAGAGAGAGAAGTTCAAGACTTAATATGTGACCAAGTCACATACTGTCAGGCTTCCCAGAAGGACTGCAAAACTTTAAGTAGACTTTTTCAAAGGATACAGCTAATGGGAGACTAGGCACACTAATATTTCTAGGCCATTTCTTTTGGCAAAAAGGCTTTGCTTGTGTCTGTGCCGCAACGTCAGTTGAGAAATCCTAAGCCAAGGGTCAGCTATGACTGGACAGCTCATGTACAGTTGTGGCTAAATTCCTTAGTGTATTTGATGTGTCTGTTAGCATTTGCTGCTTGCTCAGTGTTGGTTACTTAATACTGGGTTCCTAGTTTTCAGGTGGAAAATCATCCCCATGTTTAGATGTACCAGGTTCTCTGTGGTGTCAATATTTTAATTTTAGTGAGCACTCTATGGTGTTCAACCACTCCCTAAATGAGGCTCTCTAAAATTCAATTTGTTTCAGTTTTCTTTGTCATCTTCTAATGACTTGTCAACATGTAGGATTTCAGCATCGGCCTTTCTCACCAAAAATTAAATGCTCTCACATCAGAAGTTTGTGGAAAGCCCCAAGGTATCTTAAATGCAGTACTAATTCTGTGTAATAATTACCTGTGCTGGAGGCCTACTCAAAAGAGAGTGCCTGTTGAAAATACCTACTAGAGCACATTTTGAAGCTAAAGGGCCACATAATTTGGAAAATAGGATCCTTCTCCTGAATGCTTTATTATAACTCTTTTGTAACCTCACTTACTGTCATGTAGTTTGCAAGAAGGCTCTACTGCTTCCCAGAAGCTACTAAATATGCTGACAAAATAAGCTAAGAAATGTATCACCAATGTCTTTACTGGAAGTGTTTTGGAGTTCTTGTACTGCTTGTGTTTGAAGGTTCATATACTGTAGTGATCTGTATTCATATACAAAACTGAGTACCTACTAACCCTGTGAAATTTGGTTCTTTGCATTCTTTCCCTGTTTCATCTACTTCAGACTCGTTTTGCTTTCACTTGAAATATTCCAGATGATTGTGCTAGTATTGTCTGTTTTGAGTAAAAAATAATATTCTCAGCTAATTAAAGGCTAAGAGAGAATCTTGGAAGTGAATATCATAGAATCATAGAATGGGTTGAGTTGGAAGGGACCTTAAAGATCATCTAGTTCCAACCTCCCTGACATGAGTAGGGACACCTTCCGCTAGACTTGGTTGCTCAGATCACTCAAACTATTGTAAACTTGCTAATGCATTTGTTGCATAGACTAAGTTACTCACTTGTGTCACTTTTTTATTCTGTTTCATTTAGAAAATACATTCCCTTGAAAAAGAAAAAGAAAAACACAACCATCTTGTTGGAGAGAAAGACAGGGAAATCCAAAACCTGAAAGACAAGCTTAAGTCCAAAACCAATAATAGTGAAGTCTCCTTACTACAAAATCAACTAGAGGAAAAAACAAAGGAAGCAGAAAGGAGAGAACAGTTACTTTGTTCTCTATCAGAAGAAATTAACCGGTTAAAATGTAATTTATCTGCTGTCATGGCAAAATGTTCTGATCTCGAGAACAAAGCCAGTAGCACTTCTCAGGCATCCCAGGTAAGCACTAAAGAAATGCTGTAATTGCAAATTGGAATTTGTGCCCACTAAGCACCAATACTGGTTATAAACTAGGATGGTTTTTTAATTTTCTTGTAAGCTGCATTGCATTCTGAAATATTCTTGTATGTAGAGAGATGATATCGAGATTGAATGCTAAATGAAGAGCAGTCAGGGAGCACAACTTCAGGCAACACAACTGGGGAGGGAATTCTCTCATGCTGTACTGCAAGGTCCCTTATGCAAGCTCACATGGCTAGTGTGACTAGTGATACTACATGTAATGATCACTGTTGATTAAGCAGATACTATACCCTTCTTGGGTTTGTGTGCTCAATGATTAGACAGACTGAGAAGGCAGCAGCAATAGAGATGTGGGGCACTAATAAAGACAAACTAAGATCCTCACCTAATTCAGCTTCAGTCATGAGAATATCTTTCTCCTCTCAGTTCTTATAAATCCTCATTTGTGTCTCAGTTGTTAAAACTAATTGTCTGTACTTTCTATGGCATCACACACAGTAAATAGAGGTAGAACAGGAATAATGAGTTTCTCCTCTCATTCTAAGTGATCAGTAGGTATGGTGCCAATCCTTGGCAGCGTTTACAAGTGCATTTAATATACTAGTTGTTTTTTACAACCCTCCCTGTTCTAATTTTCCGTGGAAAATGCAGTAGTATCTCAATGCGGGGCACAGGGAAGTTGGTGCCTAAAAGTAGGTGCCTGTAGGTCTTTCTTTTCCAGCTTTTGACCTATAGATGGTGCTGGTTCCCTGTGCTCTACAAGGAACTTAGAAATTCTGCTTTGGCCAAATACGTAGCAAAATATCTTAATCTACCACTTTTGAATGATAATACATGTATATATATCACTTCTAAATGAAATATATTAGTAAATACCACTTTAAATGCAACATATTTATTTTCAATTTTAAGAGACTTTGAACTGTGTTAGAGAATTTAAAATGTATGTAAAGTCAACAGATTTTCAGGATATTTTTGACAATAAAGTACAAAAATACCTATTACTCTAAACCCATAATTTTCTTTTAAAATCTTAACTGATCTATCAACAGAGGAAAACAAATGTGACTGATGTTTTGACTGGATGTCATAAAAACTTGAAAACAAGTCTAGCAATGCTGCTTGAAACTGCTAGGTGGCATGTGAGCTCTGAAATAGAAACAACATTTGTATGACACAGTTTTCACTGAGCAGGGTTCTAACGTTCATATAAACAACTGTAGCGTCTTTAGATCCTATTTTTATTAGGAAGTGCTGAAGTTTAATGATTGCATTCAAAGCTCCTCTGTATTTTTCAGTTATAAAATTTGTTATAAATCATGTTCCAAAACCCGTAGGTAAACACTGGAAAAATGTAGTTTGGATTTGGGTAGCAATCTATTTTTTTGTTGTTGAAGTTCCCTCCGACTTACATCTACACAATTTCATAAATTCATTCTATCATGCAGAGAATAAACATGTCAGATTATGGAAGAAATATAACTATTTACCTGCTCTCTAGATTTAAATGGGTCTAAAGAACTCTCCGACTCATACTTCAAGCACTGTACTGTGGATCAAGTCTCAAAAAATCAGACAGTTTGTCCTTATCGATAGGCTTGCACGAATTCCCAGATATTAACAATCTTCCTGTTATCCCAATGAAACTGTCGAGGTCTCTGTAGCTTTCCCCCAATAACTCCTGTAGGTCTGGCTTATTGTCAAACGTATAAGGATACGATAATAGAACAACCACCTTTTTTTGTGTACTTAAATAATATCCTAAATGTCTTGATTTTTCAAAAGCTCTTTGGAGAACACCCTTCAGGTCTTCCAAGAGAGCAGTTCAACACATGATGAAAACACATGATGGTCTTCTTAGGAAATGTTCTAATGTAACTATGAGTTGCAGAATTATGGAATAAATAAAATTTTAATCTTTCTCCCTTCTCTTGCAGAACAGTCAATTTTAAATATATGAAATGGTTTTCTACATAACTTAGATCCTTTTAGAAAAAAACAACAACCAACTCTAAAGATCTGTAAACACAAAAGGCACATGTATTTATGTGAAATTAATAGTTATTTCACATCTAGCTTTGCTCTTTCAGCCATCTATTTTAAACAACACTAACAGGTTGTTCTTTGTCTGCAGGAAGCTGTAACAAACAGCACTGAAGTTGAAAGACAATTGAAAGATGTAAGTTTCCTGTACAACGTTGCAAGTGCATATAATCTGTATTGTGATGCATAAGAATGTAAATTATCATCTTATACATTTTGGTAGTATGGAACCTCAGAGGGTATGTTTCCCTCTAAAATATAGTATCTAAAATTATTTTGATAAGACAATAATTTAAATTGAAAAAAACAAAAACTTGCAAAAATAAAAAAATTGAGATAAGATTTCCACCGTCTTTGAAAAACCTTGCTTAGAAC